CGAACCGACATCTAGGGGGGCTGAAGTCCCAAGCGCGGCCCGACGTCGGTCGACTAGGACGCATCCCACACACCACGCGCACACCACTTTACGAACACAAAAATAAAACACACACACGCACATACAACACGACACAGTACAAACAACGCGACAACGCTCCTAGTCCCTCGGAAGCCAACCCATAACTTCCCGATGTAGAAATCGAATAGGCGTCGAGCGCGGGACTTAATATAAAAAAAATCGCGCGGACGCAGGGCTAACTCGTATCGACTCGCAATGCAAAACGCACGCAAGCAGTTGCAATGATGGCGTACTATGTCGTGCCCATAATCGTGCGGCCCCTCGTTAGCCTCGGGGGTCGCATTCGACACTCAAGTGTCGGCTGACACGCCTCGAGGGTTAATCTCTCGACGCTAGACAACCGCCATGCGCGGTGGAAGACCACACCCTCTTCTGCACCCTGTGCAAAGGGGTTGAGTAGACAACTCTAAGCTGTCATGGCGGTCGAACATCAAGGGGTTTGACTTTGATGGCCACCACGGACTATAACGTCCAACCATGAAAACACAAAAAGGAGACTCATTCCAACCCCCATTAGCTGATGGCCCTCAAAAATGGAAAGGGGGTGGATCAGCCCAAACGACGCGCGCGCGGAGGAGGTCCGACATCCTACCCATAGGCTACCCAGCGTCCGGGATGACGAAGCCCGTACACGGACTCCCATAGGCTGACTGGAACTAGTCCTCCGCCCACGTGCCGCTTCGCGTTACCAAAACCCCAAGTTTACTGGCCGTGTCGCGCTCGTGATCTCGTCGCCTGACMCATACCTCTTTCAGTGCGGGATGCGACGAGTGCCGCGCGCGAACTTAGTAKAAGATCGCGAGAGCGYTGGACTTACACATACTATCTCGCTATGCAGTTCTACGCRAGTAACCGTGATGGCGGCGCMTTGTGTAGTGTCCACACCCAAATGGCCTACTCTGAGCCAAGGGGTCCCCTTTCGACGCTCAGGCGTCGGCTGAAGCGCGGGCCAATGGGGGTAACCCTTTAGCGCGCGCAAAAACCGGCCTGAGGGCCTTTCCGTCTTCAGCACCCTGAGGTGTCCCAACGGGTGCGGGGCGAGACGGCCCCTAGGGCAGGAGGGGGGTTTGGGGCGGTGGTGAGTTGTCTGGCGCACCACCAGCAACACGCTGACCCTTCCGCYCGGAACTTTATCRTTCCACCAAGATGAATCGCAACAAGGAAAAGAAACAAGAATTTGCGAGGGATACCCCGCCCCCTTTCTATTCACCCCAACCTTCGACTGACCCTTACTACGCGGGCGCTTCAGGCCGCGCTAGCTCCGCAYGTAGGTACACATGCACTGACACATATATATACATATATGCACARGGGGGGATAATTATGTGACGATCACTTCTCACACTCAATGTGGGTCTCCTCCTAACCATACATATATATGCAACCGCAGGGCAGCCCAACCAAAACCCCAAGTCTTTGAACATACATGCAATCACATTAAAATCAGACAAAAGTCCACGCACTACGCGGAGTCAACTCCAACCAGTTCCTATACTCATACCCCTCGCTTTAGCCATGCAAGCCCCAACCTCTAGCCAACCGACCTCAATTAAATACTCAGTACCTTTGTTAAATGGCCATTCAATAAAAGTCCGGGTGAAACCCTTAACAACCAAAAAGATCACCAGGGCTAAAGCCTTTTAGGTTGAGTATGGGGTGCGAGTAGGAATTGAGTCGTGAGCCGACGAATCRGCAACCGACCTGTTATYAGTGATAACAGATGATGATCCTTGCAAGATCAAGCTGAACTAGCCCAAGTCCTGAATCGGATGTCCAAGAAAGGCCTGTACCATAAGACAGGTCAATKCCCAAGCTAAATCATCAKCATATGGGGGATGACCCTCCATAGCGCATTCTCACCCAAGTTACCTGCCAACTAGATTAAAGTCTACCTCTAAGCYAGTGCCCAAAGCAAAGGTAGACTAACGGCAGGATCCCCCCTATTTAGGGTGGATCGCTAGAATCGCCACCTGTCAAAATATAATCCAACTACTCTAAATCAAGAAAATTTCGGCAGCGCTTCCCGTAGGAAAAATGCATTTTCAGAATTTATATCAGCCCAATATGAAGCCAAAAATAATCTTTGACTTTCCAAAGCCCAATTTTGTCTAACTCCCTGAATYAGCAAAAATTTGGGCAGCACTCCTTTTAGAAAAGGAGACTTTYCAGATTTTTACTAAGTCGTATATAAACTTTRGACAAGTTGAACTTTGACAAGYCAAAATTTGACTAACTCCTTGGATTTGCAGAAAKTTTGGCAGCGCTTCCCGTAGAGAAAGTAGCTTACCAAAATTTATACAAAGCCAAGTATAACAAAAGATCCCAGAAAATGCAAGAATCGATCTAAGTAAAATAAACTTAGCTCAGAAARTGCAAAAATTGAACTAACTCCTATCGCTCTAGCACGTGGCGAGCCTCTAAAGCAACTACCTGTCAAACTGAAACTCAGACCAAGTAGTAGCCTCACTGAGTCACATGCAAGCCAAACCACAAAGGTAAGTACTCTCACCATCCCCGAGCCAACTTGGTTGACAATAATTCGTAATCTCTCGATGCTTTATTCCCTTATACCCACCTTACAAAGGGCATAAAGTCAAGTCGTCCAATCTTATGGAACATGCCTGACTCAGCCATTGAGTATACACGAACATGTTGCACAACTACTTCTCTTCCTTTTGGGCATATGACTAAGCGGTTCATCTTAGAACAAGGCTCAGCTGCCCCGAACTGTTTAGTATCCAAATTATATATACCTCTCTGAGCTTGGTGTTCAAAAGCTGGGCATAAGACTGAGCCGTTCATCTTAGAACAAGGCCCAGCCTGCCCAGGGTTAATTATACTTTTAGTTATACTCTCTTCATTTCATGATAAGCTATAGCCAGGCCGTCCAATCTTATGGAGCCCATGCCCGATTCGCCTGTTCATAAATAGGATAATATAACATATAGCCAGAATTTAACCCTTTGGGTTCCAGCATGTGCGAGGCATTGGGCCAGACCGTCCAATCTTATGGAACTGGTCCGGTCCTCTGCCAGGTCCGTTTCTTTTTTATCCACTGTGTATGGCATGAGTCCAAGGCCGTCCAATCTTATGGACATGCCTTGCCCCCAGTAAGGATTATCTCCTCAGAATAAAAAAGGAAGAGGCTGAGCCGTCCAATATTATGGACTTGCTCAGACCTCCTCGACCTGAAACAAATAAGGCAGAATAATCCCCAATCAAACATGGCCACCAAACCCTCCACTCTTATGGCACAGGTTTGGCCCCTGAAAAGTCAGCCATAGTCAAACCCTCACAATTCAGARCAATCAGACCGTCCAATCTTATGGAACTGGCCTGACTCTCCATGTAATTSAAAAATAAAACACARCGGTCAGGCCGTCCAATCTTATGGAACTKGTCTGACCCCATAGAACCCATTCAYGCTTAGGCAAAACCACCTTTCACCCACCCTTCCCCCAGATGCAACCCCTTGTGTTCACGATCTGCCTTCAGRCAATCAACAAAAACTGAAACTGAGATTGCACACACATTCTTTTACTTAATYTAAGTTGTGTCCTGCCAATCAACCCAAAGCCAAAATAGGGGTACATACAGTATACTCAGTCARCCATAGCAAGACGTACAAGTAGGGGTTATGTCAGGGTATATAGAGAGGAAGCAATGGTTACCTTTCAKTTCCCTGCCTCCAGAACTCCTCCTGAGTTCCGGCAGAGCTCCCGCAATCGGTGGGGCGAACCTCCCACAGAGGCCTTGGCGCGGATTACGGGTTGCAATCCCGCCTGCCGCCTTCCTCTCAAAACCAATAGANGCTCCCGCAATCGGTGGGGCGAACCTCCCACAGAGGCCTTGGCGCGGATTACGGGTTGCAATCCCGCCTGCCGCCTTCCTCTCAAAACCAATAGATCAGACTTAGAGTAAGAAGGGCAGAATGAGAAAGATTTTCAGACTCTCAGATAGGGCCTTGATACCTTCGATCGCCTGAGGGCCTACTCAAGCATAAGTTGCCCGATGGTCGAACTGTCAGATTGACCAAGTTCAAGGCCAGTAGCATTATAGATACCTATGGCTGCTTGTGCGCATCAGCGTTCTACAATTACTATAAGCAAAACCAAGAGGAGGGTATGTACCTTGTGTATGTCTCTGAGAAAGGAGAGGCCATTAAAACACCCCCAGAGATAGAACGTGTCGTTGCTAAGTTCCCTGATTTGTTCGAGGAGCCCACAGGAGTTGTTGAAAGGGAAGTTGTCCACGCTATAGAAATCATTCCAAGGAGTAAGACCCCAAAGGGAAGGATCTTTAGGATGGCTCCCGCCGAGTTAGATGAACTTCGGCGACAGCTTAAGGAGCTGAAAGAGAAGGGATGGATTCGGCCTAGTACTTCCCCTTACGGATCACCCGTTCTATTCGTACCGAAGAAGGGGGGTACTTTGAGGATGTGCGTTGACTATAGAGGCCTCAATGCCATCACAGTGAAGAACGCAGAGCCTTTACCTCGCATAGACGACCTATTGGATAGGGTGCAGGGATGCAAATACTATAGGAAGATAGACTTGAAACCCGGATATCATCAGATCGCAATAAGACCTGAGGACCAACACAAGACAGCCTTTCAGACCAGATACGGTCTGTACGAGTTTGTAGTGATGCCCTTTGGTCTTTGCAATGCGCCGGGTACATTCCAGCACGCTATGAATCGGATTTTCCATTACCATTTAGATAAGTTTGTCGTGGTATACCTTGACGACATTCTGATCTTTAGCAAGTCTGCTGAGGAGCATGCAAAGCACGTTGAGACTGTACTCTCACTTCTGCGACAGCACAAGTATAAGGTCAACTTAGAGAAGTGTGAGTTCGGTCGCACTAAGATACTATACTTGGGTCATGAACTATCCGCAGAAGGGATTAGGCCGGAGGATGCGAAGGTGGCTAGTATTCGAGACTGGCCACGACCTCAAACAGTCACTGAGGTTAGATCATTCTTAGGAATGTGCGGCTACTATAGGAACTTCGTAAATAACTATTTTACAGTCGCCTCTCCTTTGACTGATCTAACTCGACTTGACACACCGTGGGATTGGAGTGATGAGTGCGAGGGTGTTTTCAAGAGATTGAAGCATGCACTCATGAATCATGAGGTCCTCATGGTTCCCGATCCTCAGAAGCCATTCATAGTGACCACTGACGCAAGCCAATATGGCATTGGGGCAGTGCTGGCTCAACAGGATGGGAAGAAGTTGAGACCGATTGAGTATATGAGCAAGAAGATGCCATCGAAGAAGTTGGCAAAGTCCACCTACGAAGGGGAACTCTATGCTCTATACAAAGCACTTGTCCATTGGAGACACTTCCTATTGGGAAGGTTCTTCTACTTGAGGACGGATCATCAGATCCTCAAATTGATCAAGACTCAACCGGCTCTTTCTGACGCACTCAAGCGATGGATTGAGGTCATAGACCAATATGACTTCAAGCTTGAGTATCTGAAGGGAGAGTATAACAAGGTTGCTGATGCACTATCATGTAGAGCAGACTACCTAGGTGCGCTAGTTTCTGACTTTGGCGTATCTGAAGAAGTAACTCAATCATTGGTGGGAGCCTATCAGGAAGACCCTGTCACGATGGACATCATGCGCAAACTTCAGGCAAAAGACAAGGCCACGGAAAGTGAGTTTGTGATGGTGGACGGGTTACTCTACCTTGATAAGGCTGAAATAAAAAGATTAGTAATTCCATCTAGTGAGCGATTGCGTAGTTTGTTTTTAGGCGAATGTCATGACGCAACTGGGCACTTTGGCTTCAAGAAGATGAGTGCTAACCTAGTACGGCGATTTTGGTGGCCAGGAATGTTAGATGACGCAAAGCAGTACGGAGAGATCTGTCAGGTCTGTCAGCGGGACAAGCCGCGAACTCAAGCACCGCTTGGGTTGTTGAAGCCTTTGCCTATTCCTGCTGGTCCAGGACAGAGTGTTTCCATGGATTTCATGGACACCCTGGTGACTAGTAAGAGTGGCAAGAGGCACATCTTCGTCATCATCGATCGATTCACCAAGTACGCTAGACTAGTGGCTATGCCAGAGACCGCAAGAACTGACTATGTCATCAAGTTGTTCAAAGACAACTGGGTGCGTGACTTTGGTTTACCAAAGTCGATCGTTAGCGACCGAGATGTCCGATTTACAAGTGAGCTGTGGAAGAAGACTGCAGAACAGATGGGCAGTCAACTTCAGATGACTTCAGGGAATCATCCCGAAGCCAGCGGACAAGCCGAGCAAATGAACAGAGTTGTACAACACTTGCTAAGGCATTACATCAAGCCCAACCAGGATGACTGGGATGAGCAATTGCCTCTCATCGCCAACCTGTACAACAATGTTGTCCACAACAGTACCGGCGTTAGTCCTAATCAGCTACACTTGGGATGGAAGCCTAGATCAACATTAGACTTCCTCCTACCTGAAAACCGACCCGCTGCAACTCCAGGCACACTTGAGTATGGTGTGCAGTATGAGAAGTTGCTGCAAGAAGTTGTCGAGCACATGAAGAAAGCTCAGCAAGCAATGATTGCTTCCGAGAATCAACACCGTAGACAGTCCACATTTCAGGTAGGGGAACGTGTCTGGGTCAAGGCTAGTGAGTTAGGACAGGAATTCAGAATCTCTCGCAAACTAATGCCTCAGTACTTTGGTCCCTGGGAAGTCCTGGATATAGTGGGAGATGAGATGGATGGCCCCACATATGTCATTCGTGTCCCTGGACACCTACGCACTCACCCTGTCTTTCATGCCTCAAAGCTTGCACCCTTCGCTGAGACAGATCAATTCCCTTCCAGGAGATCGATGCTGCCCCCAACCATGGATGGTCAAGTGGACATCGACGACATTGTGGATCACAGGGATATGCCTGTTCTGAAGCCGCTGGGTCGAGGAAGACCTCCTAAACCCAAGATAGAGTATCGCGTCAGATTCAGGCATCATAGAGATCCAAAAGAAGATCGGTGGTTTACCAGAGAGGAACTGATTGAGACTGCTCCTCAGGTGGTGGCAGAATACGAGAGACTGCTGAAAGGGAAGGCACCTGCGAAGTAAGCATCTCAGCGGACTTTCGAAGCTAAGGGGGATGGAATGTGAGGATTGAGCCCTCAAGAAGGGGCCTTGGCATGATGTACATGTTCTGGGCTAAGGCCCCAGCAAGCCTAGTGCCCGCCCTAAGTGAAGGCGGGCCAGCAAATCAACAAGAGCCCTCTGTGCGACCATTTCCCGAAGTGGGGTCAATACAGTTGCAGCACGCCAGTTGGTTGGAGTGCACCGAGTCTCGAATCTCTGCAAATGTGGAGAACCCAGGGCCTCTGAGTTAGTTAGGCCCTGGGCACTTGAACGTGTAGAGGCCGAAAATGCCAAAGGGAAATCGGCCCACTATCTGAATCTGGCCGCAGGCCTTGACGAAAGAGGCGCAACTGCATCACCCGGGCCCCAACTGCATCGGGCCTGGGTTCAGGCACTGGGGCCCAGTCGCAGGCTGAAGGGAGGCCGCCCACACGCAGCACTGGCATATAGGCAAGCAGGGCGAGTGGGCAGGCATTCTTGGCCAATGTAGGCATTGCGGGCACGCTGCGCAAATGCGAGGTGCTGCGCTGTGCAGAGCTGCGCTGCGCTGGGATGAGGCAGGCTAGCGCTAGGCGGTAGGGCGCTGCCTGTGTACTGGGCGCTTGGCGGCCATAGCCGGGCTGCAATAGGGCGCAGGGGAGGTGAGGGTGAATGTGGTTCTTCGGAGGTGAAGGGCGCTGTGTGGGTAACAAGGGAGAGTGTGGGTGAAGAGGACACGTACCTGGTGGAGGTGGAGGTCGGCAATGGTGTTGACATCATCACTCGCTGGTAGTCAAGTTGTCTGGTTGCTTTCATTGCTGTAGTTGTAGGCTTAGTCTGTAGAGTAGATAGGGCGCCTGGCGCCATTCATAAGTAAGAGCTACATTGGGTTATGCTGTTGGTGTTGCCCTGTTGGGCATGGACATTGACTCACGATTCTTCTGTATCATTCTCAATTGGATGGTTACTCGGTTCCATTGTGCTATCTGCTCTGGATTTGACTACTTGGACTTCAGTGTGATTTTGCATTCTGGATTTCTGTGCTTCGTCCATATTCATGTTCCTTGCACATTCTCCATTGGGCGATGCTGTGGATGGCCCTGATGGTCCATTCCCCGTTGGAGAATGTGGATGGCACATTCTCCAACGGTCGATGGGGCCATTTTGAAACGGTTTTCACCTTTTAGCAGTAGCGGATGCAGTACCCAGGGTTCGATCCCTAGACCTCACCTTACCCATGTACAGTATCTGTGTAGACCCCGGGAATTGAACCTGTGACCTGTGTATTCGTAGGCAGTTGGTAGGCTTGTCGTGGGTCCATAGGCAGCAGGGGTTCGATCTGTAGGTCTATAGCGTAGGAGTCTTAGTGAGTTCCGGAAGCTTAGCTGTAGACCTTCTAGAAGGTAGGCAAGTGG